GGGTAAGAACCACAATAGTGCATTTTCTTCCCATCATGAAGGAACTCCCCATTGTAATGGAACCTAACATTCAGCTTCTCCGACCAATCCATGTGTCCTATATAAACAAACAAAAAGAAATGTATAAACAATGGATCCAGAGACAAAAAGAGGGATTAAAATAGCTCAAATCCACCAAATCAGCATGCATTTAAGCAAGCAACTGTCGATGCATAAACTACTCTACAGACAGTAGTACCAATCCCTAAGATTAAACAACACTACCAAGTCCCTATGCATAAACTATTCTTTGGTACAAGCTCCAGTACTATACAATTGCAATGATTGTAATTATGTGCTTTACTTTCAGTACTTAAAAAACAACGGTACTCATTTACTCCCATCCTCCATTCCTCTGCCCCTGACCCACTTGTTATTAACAGGAAGAACCGATTAACAAGCTAACAGGAAGAACCGATTAAAAGTTGACACTTGTTATTTAGAAAAAAAAACAAGCCCTGAGCCCCTGACCCACTTACGTGTAGGGACTCTAGTCTCAGTTCTCATACCTCTGCAGCTGAGGAGAGGAGAGTACTACTCGTCATCCTTATCCACACGGCACTCATTTACTCCCATCCTCCATTCCTTTCTTCCCCAAACCAACACAAGCTCACCCTTCTCTCTCTCAAAAAAAAAAATCAAGGCTCAAGCAGCCATGGATCGATGGGGCACCGTGGGAGCTAGGAGGTCAAGATGGTCGGTACTCGGCCTCTTGGAGGATGCCAAGTAGCTCTCCTTCAACCAAAGCTCCCTCTCAAAGCAAAAGAAATGTCGTTCTTTTCTTTCAAGGTGATTTTTTTCTTTTTTCTCTTGAAAATTTTGGTGGATTTGGAGTTTCAATTCCTAGGAGATTTGTTTTGGGTGGCCCAATTGGAAGCTCGGTTCCATTTTTGGCCTTTTGTTTTCTTTATTTCCTCTTGCTCATATGAAGATTTCTTCGCATAGCAGGGCAATAGTTGAGGATCTTGTCATGCAGCGAGAACAAAGAACACAAGATAAGCTTTGACAAACGCGTGAAGGCGTGCGTGAGCACGCCAAGGAAAAATTTCCACAGCTTTGATCGTATTTTTCCTTTCCTCCAAAAGTACAGTCATCTTGCCTTTCCTCCTGAAAGTTTCCCTTTTCTTTGTTCTAAACGCATCCCCATTCCTTTCCTCTGGAAACAAAACCTCCATTTTCCCTCGTTTTTCCTATGTTCCAAACAGGAACTAAAGTGATTCCATCGAAATCCATGTCTACCGGCCAACTACTACCACCACATTGATGATTCCAGGGGAGGAAAGAGACAACCAACTCACCTCTGTGTCTTAACCCTTAGCGCTTTCGAACTGCATCAACACCACGAGGAAGTCAACGCATCGAACTCCATGGATTGGGATCGTCGCACTGCGGTTGCCAAAGAATGAGGAAGGCATTGGGCAAATCAAAGCGAGGATGGTGGGGTGGCGTCGTGGGGAAGAGAGCGGCGTCGCGCGGAGGACGGCAAGGCGATGTGGCACGGACCACGGTGGGGCGACGTGGCTCGGAGGACAGTGGGGCGGCGTCGGAGGGAAGAGGAGCAGAGGCGCCGTCGCCCGTCGCCCGTCGCGCGGAGTGGCGAAGGATCGATCTAGGGTTCGTGGTGGGACTTGCGGCAGGAACGGGAATGCCTAATGGGCCGGCGCACGGGCCCTTTTTTTGCGACTCGTTTTTTTCGATTCACGAACTGTTGAGTCGGCGCACAATACCACGGTGGAACAGGGCAGGGGGGGGTCATGTGCCCGGTTTTGTAAGTTGGATGGTCTCTTATGCCTGGTTTCATAGCTGGAGGTCCAAATTCATACTCTTTTGTAAGTTTAGGGTTGAAAAGTGTACTTTACCCAAAAACGAATAACAACTGCCATTTGTTCTTTTCTAGACTCATCTCTTGATTCATCAACAATCAAGCAAAACTTAGCATCACCTATTTCATTACGAAGGGCTGTTTGCACATTACTAGCCATAAGGTCCAAGATTTCTTTCTGAATCTGTGGTGATGTGTATTTAGCATTCAATGGAGTATTATCCAGTACCACAACCTTTACCTCATCATCATAAGAAGCTAGAAGTTTTACCATCTCAAGAAAATTACCTTGGTTTTTTGAGTCAACAGATTCATCGTGTCCTCTGAAAGGACAAGCCTGGAATATTAACCATCGGACTGCATCAATTGATGTTCGAAGACGGAGTCTATTCTTTTTTATTTCTTCATTTGTTTGCTTCTCCACTGCATGTACAATATGCCATGGCTGATTCTTTAAATTCTCATAACACTGAACATTGTATTTATGAGCTGAACCACAATCTTTTCCCATGTGAATCATGAAGGCATAGTTTGATCCATCATTGACTTTCTTCCAACTTCTAAATCCTTTCACTGTGAATGCATTAGATCCTATTTTTCCAACTGGTTTCTTTGAAAACAGGAAGCATGGAAAACAAAAGGCGGCATCTTTTGTAGGTGAATACTCTAACCAAGGAAAAAATTGAACCAATTAGACTAAAATCTACGTAGACTGAAAACGCGTGCGAGGCTAGAGGCCGCCGCACCGTCCGGGAACGATGGCACCGAGGGCGAAGTCGAGCTGAAGGCCTGAAGGCACGGTGGGCCAATTGGAACCGGAGAAGGAAAAAAATTAAAGCCCAATGGGTGCGGAGGCAGGCAGGCAATCCATGCAGGGACACGGAGGCCTGCGGAGAAGGCACGAGTGGAGTCCACGACACTAGCTAGCCCAAATAAAATAATGAAAGCCCATGTATATATGTATAAATTAGTAAAAGCAAACAACATCAAGTTAATTACACCCAACTACAGCATAGACGTTAAAAATTTTCAGCAGTGTTGGGGGGTGTGGCCCTTGCTGGCCCCCTCCTTATCTCCGCCATTGGGCCGCGCCACGTCCGTGCGCCTGCCCGCCACGGCCTCCGTCTTGGGACCTCAAGGCGCCTCAAGGCGTGCTTCTCGCTTCAGCATGTGAGCCTTGACCTTCCACCGTGAAATTTTCAGTATTTTGGTCTTTTTGAAAACAATTTTAGAAAAATACCAGCATAAAAACATTTTCTGAAAATAGACCATTTTAGGCATCTTAGCACATGACGCCAGAGATATGAGGCTCGGCGTCGTGTCACTCGACAACGAGAGATCTTGCCACGTCATGGAAGACCGGGGTGTAAATGCGTCATCTGCAGATTAGGCGTGTGGGTCCGAGACGTCGGCGTCGTGTCGGCCGTCGCCAAGTACCCAACCTCGGCGCGTTTCGGACCGAAGCGCCGAGCTCTGGCCCCATCCGGAGCGCGCCGGGTGGCCCAACAAAGCACGGTGGCCCAGCTTCGGCGTTGGGTCACTTAACGCCGAGCCTCCAGGACCTCGGCGTGACCCGACTCAACGCCGAGGTCTGGACCCTTTAGGCAGCCTTGAGGCCCCTTCTTCTTGTTCCCTCCCCTCCTCCATTCCCCCACGGCTCCCAAATCCCCCACGGCCCCCACGAAACTCTCTAACCTCCAAAATCGACCCCGGTGCGGGATCTTGTCCTCCGAAGCTTCCTCGGTAATGGTCCCTCCCTCCTCCATTCTATCCAGCGTAGATGTGCTTACATTGTCCCTAATCATTTGGAATCATGGTTGTTTGGTGATTTGGTATATTTGTGTTTGCATTTGCAAAATGTATAACTTAGGATCATTGAGTGCATTGTTGTTTAAGCTGTTTTATGTGATGAACATGTTAGGTTAGTTTGGTTTCTAGTTATTTTGGTCATTAGGGTTATTTGTTTATTGTAGGTGTCATTAGGGTTAGTTATTTGTTGGTCATTAGAGTTACTATGTATTTTATTTATTTGTTGGTCATTACATTTCAATTTGTTATGATCAAGGCGTTTTGCAAAATTGAAATGTAATGACCAACAAATAAATAAAATACATAGTAACCCTAATGACCAACAAATAACTAACCCTAATGACACCTACAATAAACAAATAACCCTAATGACCAAAATAACTAGAAACCAAACTAACCTAACATGTTCGTCACATAAAACAGCTTAAACAACAATGCACTCAATCATCCTTAGCCATACATTTTGCAAATGCAAACACAAATATACCAAATCACCAAACAACCATGATTCTAAATGATTAAGGACAATGTAAGCACATCTACGCGGATAGAATGGAGGAGGGGATGGACCATTACCTCGAGGAAGCTTCGGGAGCCGAGATCGTGGCACCGGGGGTCGATTTTGGGGGTTAGGGTTTGCTGGCGGCGCTGGGAGAAGAGAAAGAGATGGAGGCCGGCGGTTTCGTAATGAAGGAGGAAGAAGAAGGGGCCTCGGCGCCAGTTTCCTAAAGTCCGACTCGGCGCTGAGTCAAGTCACGCCGAGGTCCGAGGTCTCGCGCATGACCCAACGCCGAGCTGCTCGGGCCACCGTGCTTTGTTGGGCCAGCCTGCGCCGCGCTCGATAAGGGCGAGCTTCAGCGCCGGGTCTCAAACGCCGAGGTTGGGTACTTGGCGACGGCCGACACGACGCCGACGCTCGGACCCACGCTTAACGTGTCGACGATGACCCCGGCCTTCCGTGATCGCAGTGATTGCTCAAGCCGAGTGACACGACGCCGAAGCCTCATATCTCGGCGCCATGTGCTAAGACGCCTAAAAATGGTCTATTTTCAGAAAATGTTTTGGCGTTGGTATTTTTCTAAAAATTGTTTTAAAAAAAGATCAAAATACGAAAATTTCACCCTTCCACCTCTTCCTCCACGGCGGCAAGCTCCTCCTCGACGCCAAGCTCGCCAACCTCTCACTCGCCCGGGGTGAGTTCGTCTCCCTCATCCCCTTCACCGCCAAGCCCGCCGCGCCGCCGCCGCCGAGCGCCAATCCGAACCCACGTGCCGGCCCAGGCCATGCCGTGCCCCCGGCGGCCAAAAGGAGCAAGTTTTCTTCGTCCTCGATGTGGCGCGGGGAGGACGTGTACGCCAAGATCGCCAGGGTGCCCGTCGACGACCCAGCCTCGCCGTCCTTCTACTACCACGGCGTGGAGCCGGTGGACCCTGCTCGGATGGTGGAGCACCTCAAGCAGGGGCTCGGCAAGCACGGCCAGATCAGGCATGTCCAGGAAATTCCCGGCCGCGAGGCGTCCTTTTGCCCGCTCCCGTCTCACCTCTCGCAGCCCACCAGGGACGCGCTCAGGGCCATCGGAGTGACGAGGCTGTACAGCCACCAGGCCCAGGCCATCGCCTCCGCCTCCGGGAAGAGCAAGCACGTGGTGGTGTCCACCTCCACATCCAGCGGCAAGTCCCTGTGCTACAACGTGCCCGTGCTGGAGTCCATCTCGCGTCCCGCCGCGGCGTCGTGCGCGCTCTACATCTTCCTGACCAAGGCGCTGGCGCAGGACCAGCTCAAGACGCTGCAGGGGATGATGAAGGGCGCCGGCGATCTCAGCGACGTCGTCAGCATCTACGACGGCGACACCCCTATGAAAGACCGCGCGAGGACCAGGGACGGCGCGAGGCTGCTCATCACCAACCCGGACATGCTGCACGTCTCGATACTGCCGTGCCACACGCAGTTCCGGCGGATCCTGTCCAACCTCGAGTACGTCGTCATAGACGAGGCGCACTCGTACAGGGGCGCCTTCGGCTGCCACACCGCGCTCATCCTCCGGCGGCTGAAGCGCGTGTGCGCGGACGTCTACGGGAGCCACCCGACCATAATATCCTGCACGGCGACACTGGCGAACCCCCTGGAGCACGTCACGGAGCTCGCCGGCCTGGACGCTGACGACGTCGAGCTCGTGCAGAACGACGGCAGCCCGTGCGGGCCCAAGCACTTCCTCCTGTGGAACCCGTCGGTGTCAAGGCAAGGGAGGTGCCCGAGCGCAGCGCAGGAGGTCTCCCACCTCTTCGCCGAGATGGTCCAGCACGGGCTCCGGTGCATCGCCTTCTGCAAGACGAGGAAGCTCTGCGAGGCCGTGCTGGCGCGCGCGCGCGAGATCCTCGAGGAGACCTCGGCCGAGCTCCGACTACATCTGCGTGTACCGCGGCGGCTACGTCGCTGAGGACCGGCGGAGGATCGAGGCCGGCCTGTTCGGCGGGACACTCCGCGGCGTGGCGGCGACGAACGCTCTCGAGCTCGGGATCGACGTCGGCGGCATCGACGCGACGCTGCACCTCGGGTTCCCCGGGAGCATGGCGAGCCTGTGGCAGCAGGCAGGGCGTTCTGGGAGGAGGTCGAAGCCGTCCATCGCCATCTACGTCGGCCTCGACGGCGCGCTGGACCAGTACTTCATGAGCTTCCCGCGCAAGTTGTTCGGCGAGCCGGTGGAACACTGCCACGTCGACGCGCGCAACCGCAAGGTCCTGGGGCAGCACCTCGCCTGCGCCTCTTTCGAGAAGCCGCTGTGCCCGGAGCACGACGAAAGGTACTTCGGTCCCGGCATGAACGGCGTCATGGTGACCCTGAGAGATCAGGGCCACCTGACGAACACGAACGTGGATGATTCTTCAGGCGTGTGGAAGTACGTCGGGCCTGACAAGAACCCTGCTCGCGCGGTGAGCATACGAGCGATCGAGCACGACAGGTACAAGGTGGTCGACAAGCAGGGCTACCGGGTGCTGGAGGAGATCGAGGAGAGCAAGGCTTTCTTCCAGGTGCACGAGGGCGCCGTGTACATGCACCAAGGCGTCAGCTACTTGGTCGAGCAGCTCGATCTGTCGTCGAGGACTGCGTACTGCAGAGCGGCACCTGATCTCAAGTACTACACCAGAGTTCACGACGTCACCGAGATCAACATCCTCCAAGTCGACGGCCATGGCCATGAAACTGCCGGTGATGAAACTGCATCATCATCATCATCATCCAGAGCAACTGCTTAGTCAAGCGATTGGAGGGTGACAACGGAATGGGTGAGGTTCGACAGGATATGGAAATCCAACGACCAGATGTCCGACAGCATCGAGCTCGACCTGCCAACGTACTCCTTCCACACGCAAGCTGTCTGGGTGAGCGTTCCTGTGGCGGAGAAGGCGGCCGTGGAGCAGAGAGGACTGGGGTTCGACGGCGGCGTGCACGCGGCGTCGCACGCGCTGCTCAGCGTCCTGCCGCTGCGCATGATGTGCGCCGCCTCCTACCTCGGGACGCGGTGCGCCGCCGCCGCGGTGATCGGAAGCGGGAGCGGGAGCGGAGCTCCGGGTGATGGTGGTGATAGGGCGCCCGGGGTCCTGCTGCTGTACGACAAGCACCCCGGCGGCATCGGCCTGGCGGCGCAGGTGGAGAGCCTCTTCGGAGAGCTGCTGGTCGCGGCTCTGCAGCTGGTCTCGGCGTGCGGCTGCGCCGGCGCGGATGGATGCCCGAGCTGCGTGCAGTCATTCGCGTGCGGTGGGCACAACAGGAACCTGGATAAGCAGGCGGCGGTCCTGATTCTCAGGGGACTGATTGAGAACGAGAGATGCTATGATGGCCAAGCCAGAAACTTGTGAGTGGTGTAAATTGTAATTCAGACTGTTACCAGTAGTGTGTTGTCGGGCCATAAGATATTCAAGAAATGTCATACTCAGTTCTTCCAAACTATCATCTAAATGTATGCATTTATTTGATATTTTCATTGCGGGTGATATTTTTCTTTTTTGCGACTCACTGCGGGTCTTCATTCACGCGGATCTGTCTAGCGAGCACTCGGTTGTTATAGGGCCCCAAAACTATTTGACCATTGATTTGGTGATCCAGCGGCGCACGGCTCTCACCCTAAACACCACGTCTTCTTCCTGAAGCCTGACGTGCATTTCCATCACCTCGCCCGCGGCGACCTCCTTCTTCCCCTCTCCCTGCCGTCGTCATGGCCATGACTGCCCCATCGCAACATGGCCTGGCCTCCTCCTCCACCGCTCGCTAATTAGGTCACGCGTGGGAGGTAAGTTGGGCTGCTTTTTTCCATGGGCCGTATCCAAATCAGCCCAAACGTGTCTAATACCCTTATCCAGGTCAATACGTAACCCAACGTGTCCGATACCCTTTTCCAGGTCAATGTCCACATTCACATTCTGGATACGTATCCGAGACGATATCAATTATCAAAGAGAAATGCTACACCTCACCCTGAGTGTTGGAACCCTTGATTTTTCTCTCTTCCCTTTCTCTCTCTTCTTCTTCATCTCTAAGTCTCTAACGGCCTTAGAAGAATTGTTTTGGGAGACAGATAGGCCAGGCCGCACCGCCCAACCCAGGTGCGCCCGACGCGACACGCGAGTCGCGATTGGCGAACGGCGGCCGGTGGCGGGATAGCGAGCGGCCGGCGGCGATCCTCTCAGCTCCCACCTCCCGGCCCCCTACGGCTGCACCTCAGAGAGCGGCCAGCGGCGCCCCCTCCTTGCTCCCGGCAGCCCGGTCCCCTACAGCAGAAGCCTGGGCGGCTCACCGTCGAATCGGCTGGCCGGCTTTCTCCATCCCAGCAAGATTTAATCGGTGAAGGTAATTAGTCAGTTCCTCGGTCCTCGTCTGCTCCGGTCTTCCCTATGCCCAGTCTCACTCTCACTCTACCCACGTCCGCTGCCCGACTGCCTGTGTATTCACTTGTTTTGTTCATCAATGTATTCATGTGCTTTGATCTGAAATCTTGTTCTGTTATGTACTATTACTATGCATGTGAACTAAATTTTGCATAATTGTGGACCTGTGGATGTGACCTTATTAAGTTGTGAAATTAAATTATGTGTTATGCCATATGTCACTTGACTTGGCTATGGCCTTAAGTTGTGCAGTCAACTTAGTATACTGTGGCTGTGGTTTTCATATTAAATCATGTGTAATTGTTTATTATTAAAAAAAAAATCTAGGCTTATCCCCGTGTCACTGTTTTTGGAGAATAGCGTATCCGATACCTGTATCCGTATCTGGGCAACATAGATGACAAGATAGCAAGGCCCAACCCAATAATATCTTAGGTTCTTCCTCCTTTGCTCTGATATGTAGCGCTACGGCAGAGGCAAACCCTAGCCGCCAGGCGGTCAGGGAGCCAGTACCAAGCTGGCAAGCTCCCCAGTTCACACAATTTATATCCTGATCTACACAATCATTTTTGAGCGATTTTGTTACTTGTTTGTATACAATGGCCGTTGCTTGTGCGATTTTGTTTTGTTTCGCTTTGGACCACTAGATCGGCATTGCTTTCCTGCTAGTACCTTTTGGAAATCAAGAAGTGCTGTCTTTCGCTTGATCTGCTTGGACATGAGTACACTACACGCCTTTTGTTGAATCAATGACTTCTGTTTTGGTTAAGTTGCACCATTAGCCCCCTGCTCTGTTGAGGTTGGATGCAGGGAAAAATGCGAGAAAAGGGTATCTATGGGTGCAAGATTAATGGACCAGGCAGGGGCTCTATACCTATGTGGAAACCAGCGATTTTCCTCAGGGTCATATCTTCTGCCCACATCATCATCTTGCTGCTGTTTTATTTGATGTACTACTCGCTCAGTTACGTTTGCTGCTTTCAATTCATCTCTTTAGTCACGCTCTGAATTCTGTTTGGAAGCAAAATGAGGAGACTGAAACATCTGAATGTTATCATGTGGAGAACACACGTATGGTCTTCAAAGTTCTCTGATTGCTTCATGCTCAAACTTTTCTTGTCTCACTTTCTTTCATGTGAATTAAATCAACATGTAGTGATTGCAAAGCAAATGCGGAAGGTATACCATCTGAAATTGTGCTGTTTATAATTCTTTGGATGGTCTTCAAAGTTCTATGATTGCTTTCTCTATGTACCCTGTACCTGTTGTATCCAATTAATGTTTGTCTAGTGCAGTAGTATTCTATTTTCTTCTATGCCATCTGAATAGTGGCACAAGTTGTGCTTGAGTCTGAACTGTAGTGTTTGGTCACTGAGAGGCGACATGAAGAGCTCTTGTAATCTGAAGATATCTGATGTTGATACATACATTCATGGTCTTCAAAGTTCTCTCATTGCTTCCTTTAGCTATGTCTCCTTATCTAAATGATTCTGGGTTATGTTCAGTTTCTTTTCTGCCTGAAGGTATAGATTTAGATTATTTCTTAACTAAGAGTTATGAAGTTGTATGTCAAGAAGCGAAATGAGGAGGTTGTATGATCTGAAGTGTCTGATGTTGATGCACCCATCCATGATCTAATCCAATTACAAGTGTAGTATACATGTATTATGCCTACAAACTTTTTTTTTGTTTCTTTTTTCTAAAACAAAGGGTGTACACGTGTGCACCCATGTCCTTTAGGGCCTGTTCGGTTGAGGCCATTCCTGGCCGGAACGTATCCCGGTGATGCATGGCCGTATAAAATTCAATAGTATTCCTGGACGGATCCGTTCCAGGCCTTGAATACCTGAAAACCGAACGTGCCCTTACTGGGTCCGCTCCTCAGCTCGAAATTTATACGTACATGTATTATGCCTATTAACTTCTATATTTTTTTTTAAAAAAAAATATCAGTTGGACATGTTGCTTGGCTTTGTTGAGCTAATTTTGTTGGATCTCTTTGTTAGAGCGAGATGTCGGAATACCAGAACGTTGTTGGGGGGAGGCTGAAGCTGAAGGGTAAAGCGCTGGACGTGAAGGAAGGTGGAGTCAAGAAAAAGAAAACGAAGAAGCATCAGCTTGAGGAGTCATCTCAGATCGAGCACGATGAGCTCCAGAAAGGTTTTTTTTTCTCATTATTACACTGGCCAATTTTAGACTTAAGCATCTGCAGATCTGCTGTTCAATTTCTGCACAATTGGATGTGTTGATAAGCATTACTATGTTTGTTAGAGGTGGTACCCATCAACTGCTTGGTTGTGAATTGGATGTGTTGATAAGCATTACTATGTTTGTTAGAGGTGGTACCCATCAACTGCTTGGTTGTGTGCATGCTACCTTCTCACAATTTCTGGGTTTCCATGCACTGAATAACCAATTAGTTTTTTTGTTACATAATTGTTGATGATTACCTCTGTTTAGGTGCCTTCTATTTGTTATTTGTCCATGCCGTAACAAATAGGAAGTACATTACTAATGCTTCTAACAAATTTTCTCATCTAATCTGTATTTGGATACACTGGTTTGTACTATACGGCCGTTGCATATATGTTTGTTTTTTGTATTCATGTTTTGATAAAGGATCTTGGAGGCATTACTGAGGAATTTGTTATTTAGTTTGTGCTGATAAGTGTTATTAGTGGCACTGTTTGCAGAACAAACAAGAACCCTGGTCCTGTAACCTTCTCTGTCACTCAGTTGTTGATTGCTCCTGCAATGACAATGTATTTGTTTAGAGACTTGAATTAGTTTACTGTTATGACAGGATAGGATTTGACAATTTTCTCATGTTATAGGTGGATCAGTCTTTACTAAAATAATCTTCAGAGTTGTGTGTCATAATGATTTTGCTGACACCCTAACCTGTTGAGAGAAATTTCTCACTTCGTTGGTAAATAGGTAGCTGTCCATGCAGTGTTTGGTTCATTTTTCCAACTTGTTTCATTTTATACATTGTCTCACCTTTTGTTCTTTGTGTAACTGGACTTTATGAATATAAAAACATTTTTAGCTGGTTACACTCACTACAATCTAATCCAACGGTTATTCACTTATTCTTCAGGCGGAAACTCTGACTTACCAACTGATCCCAACAATGAGCTGATTGAAGCTGATAAGATGGGAGATGAAGAAGGGAATCCACATCCTGACTATGACCATCTCACACCAGCGGAGCGACGCTACATGGAACAGAAGCAGAAGATTGACATGCAGAAAATGCCCAAAGTTGCCAACAAGTCGCACAGGGACCGCGTCCAGGACTTCAACCAGTACCTGGCAAACCTCAGTGAGCACTACGACATCCCCAAAGTTGGCCCTGGCTAACATAACTAAACTACTGTGTTACGCACAAACAATTGTATGCTGGGTGGCTTAAAAATAATAATTGTATGCTGGGTCTATCCAGCTTTATGTTACATGTTATGTAGAATTTTATATGTTGTAAAACGACCTGTTGCCACGAGAAGACGGTATTTTATTTCAAAAGTGTGTTCCAAGTAATTTTGATCACGTTTGTAAGTTTAAGCTATTTTTTGGTTGCCCCTTTCAGTTGCAATCCTTTGGCCAAAAAGGCCACATATCATCCAGCTTATAAGCAGCATGCTTTCCGGTTGTCTCCTCAGTCTGTCTAATTTAGTCAAGTGAGATGAAAAATGGCTTGTTTGAAAATGGTTTGCCCATTATCTACACATGCCGCACTATTTAAGGCTGACTAAATTCTGCAACCTACTCCATTGTCATTTGGCAATAATATTTGAGCACCAATGCAACTAACTTGACCCTTTACTCACAGTATCAAGGCTATGAAACTGCATTTGTTACACAAAAATATTCATGCCGGAGAATATTCAAGTGCATAAATCCTTTTTGTAGGCTTGCATTGCTGGTAGCTGAAACTATTTGTCATGCAAATGCATTAATTGCGCGTGGGACTGGAAAATGAGTGCAGCTTCTCATTGCTTACATAGTTACATATATGTAGCAATGCCTCTAAACAGAAAAGTGATACAAAGATCACTTGTAAAATTAAATCTGGGGCTATTTTTGCAACATCTAAATAGAAAATGAGTGCAGCTATCTCTCTTTATAAAACGACACAACAAAGCTACTAATGGAACCATTGCGCATGACATCTACTTCTCTGATCTCCCCTGGCCCATTGGAAAGATGTACGATACTCCATTATTGGAAGAAAACAAGCGATAGATGTGGAGCAATTATTGGTTATGACAAGCCTGAATTCTAAAGAAAAAGAAGAGGGTTGAAACCTACTCTCTCCATTTCAAATTATAAGGTGTTTTTGCTTTTCTAGATACATTACTTTTACTATGAATCTAGATATAGTTTATATGTAAGTGTATAGCAAGAATTATATATCTATGAAAACCAAAGCATCTTATAATTTGAAATTGAGGGAGTACTTCATTAATATATCTTCTAGCCAGCTACTGGACTTCATGAATCTAAAACATTTTCAGCAGGTAATACTCTCTTCATATCTAATTCAATGGTTATTCTTCAGGGGAAACTCTGACTTACCAACAGATCCCAATAATGAGCTGGTTGAAGCTGACAAGATGGGAGATGAAGAAGGGAATCCACATCCTGACTATGACCATCTCACACCAGCGGAGCGACGCTACATCAAAGTTCAAAAAAGCGCTAAGCGCTAAGCAAGCGGTGACCCACCGCTTAGAGTTTAAGCGGGCTTAAGCGTATAATGCGTCGCTTAAGCCTTTGGTACTGTAGCAAATTAAATTCATGTGATAGGCTGTGAACTTGATAAGTATAGATAAAAAACATACCTTATTTGATTTTATTCCTAGACTTGTAGAGCTGATCAATTGTTGGACTTGTACAGGTACAGCTCAACAATTGTTGGTTTCATGTTGTAATGTTCCTAACAGTCACAATATGGAAAACATCAAATGTTGATTAGGTTCATAAAACAAAAAATATACCTCATGATTAAATATTTATAAACAGAAAAGGCAAATAGTAATGGCAAGAACACTACTACTTAGTTCATAAGAACATAACATTGCATCTGAAGCTCATAAACCATAGTTTCAGGTCCTACTTAGTTCCAAATTAAAAGATACATCATTGCAGCCCACTCATGAGTATGACAGTACAACACAACTGATAAATTGATAAAACATCAATGATGGCAATGCATAGATAAACATAACAAAAGATGTCATCATTCCAGCTGACTCATTTATCTTCATCCATGCAGAACTACAGAATATAATATGCAGCCGTAGGGAAAGAATTAGGCATAAACTAACCTAGCAATCCAAGACTGCACATGCGCACACCTATATTAGGCATAAACTAATCTAGCAATCCAAGACTGCACATGCGCACACCTATATTAGACATAAACTAATCTAGCAATCCAAGACTGCACATGCGCACACTTATATGGCACCTAGCAGTAGCACCTAGGAGATGGGAAGGGAGAACCAGAGTGGAGATGCAGAGGAGAGAGGAGCAACCAGTGAAGAAGTCAAGCAGAGGAGCTCACCTTGCTGGACATGGGGAAGAGAATCGAGCGGACAACATCGGAGATGGGGACGGCTCGAGCTCGACCTTGGGAAAGAGACGTCGGACTTGGGGAAGAAACCGACGAGCTCGACCTCCTCCAGCGGCGGCTCGAATCGGCGGGCGTCCCGCGTCAGTCTGCGGGAGTCGGTCGGCGTGCGGCGGCGGGAAGTCCTCTTCTGCTTTTATCCCCTCCTCTCCCGCGTGCCCGATTGGAACTTCCGCACGGCGCGCGCATCCATCTCCCGCGCTGCTTTCCCGTGCTGCCTTTCCCGCCCGGTCGCTGGCTAACTGAGCGGCCGCGCAGCGGCGCTTCCGCGGCACCTTTCTCCGCCTCAGCGGCTTCCGCGCGCGTCCGCGTCCGCTGAAGCGCCGGCGCCGCTTTTGGCCCGAAGCGAAGTGGCGGCCTCCCGCTTAGCGCTTCAGCGCGCTTAAGCGGACGCTTAATACCGCTTTTTTGAACTTTGCGCTACATGGAACAGAAGCATAAGATTGAGATGCAGAAGATGGCTAAAGTTGCCAACAAGTCGCACAGGGACCGCATCCAGGATTTCAACCAGTACCTGCCAAACCTCAACGAGCACTACGACATCCCCAAAGTTGGCTAACATAACTAAACTGCTGTGTTACGCACAAACAATGGTACGCTGGGTCTATCCAGCTTTATAATTCCTTCACATGTAGTCGGTCCATTTCAAACTACAAGACGTTTTGTATTTTCTAGATACATAACTTTATTACTCTATCTAATATTTAGATATGTACTATACGTAGATACACAGTAAAACTAGAAAAGTCAAAACGTATCACAGTAGAATATATGGTACTATATTAAGTCAACATCAACGCACGAGATTTTCGAAATATTCTTCTACAGATTAAAATACTACGCCAGCAAAGGAGCTTGCCCAGGACACGATTTCCCAGCTCCTATCGTCATTATGACATATCATCTCTTCTGGAAGTCGAGCTTCATGATGGCGAAGCCAAAGAGGGCCGCAAAGAGCACCGCGAATGCCACCACCACGGCGGCGACCCCCACCCCAGCCAGCTGTGCTTCAAGTCGAAGTAGTCCTCCAAGAACATCTTCACGGTCTTGTCGGTGTCGTCCATCTGCGTCATGACGTCACCGAACTGTGACACCACCAGCCCGTACAGCGTCCACGCCACGGGGCATATCCAGCAGTACCACCTCCACCAGATGGGCGCTTTCTGAAGGTAAATAAGCTTTACTAGTTAGTAATTTGGAAACAGTAGAAAAAAATAAGGTGCAGGGCAGATGAGGCGAGGTCTTACCGGTCGAGGGACGATTAACCCGGAGAAGAGGTTCCAGATGGATAGACCGTATCCTAGTAATTTCGAAACAGTGTGGTAGCTAGGTGCAGGGCAGACGAGGCATGACGAGGCGAGGTCTTACCGGTCGAGGGACGATTAACCCGGAGAAGAGGTTCCAGATGGAGCACAATCCTGAGGAGACGGTCGCCGCGATGTGGTAGTACACGTGTCAGGCCGACGGACATCATGCCGTAGAATGTGAAGTAGAGCATCGTGAAGTACCCAAAGAAGAGGTACCAGAAGAACTTGGCAGCCGTCCACTCGAACCCGATCATGGAATACACTATGACACCGTATAGAATATCCTGTGCCAGTGCGTATGGGAGCTCAATCACCACCTGCGAGGAAACAACTTGATGATCAGTATCAGACATTATTCAGACTATCAGTGGCGTCCTCTCTAGAAATTAGAATACGGGCCAAGGCCAACCAACCAGCAGGATCGGAGAACCATTTACCAGGCCAAACGCTTATGGGAAAGCCGAGTACATGCCAGCAGCTCTTTCACGGTAAAAGACTGTCCACTCCACGGCCACCACTGGCTGAACTGGGCTACAGTTCATGACCCCGATGAACATCACCGCAGAGTACATAGATCCCATGGCATTTAACAAATCTTGTGACGTTTTCCTGTCCAGATTAACAAGCTAAGTAAGCAAGACATGAATAACAACTTCAAGTCAAGCCACTTGTTTGCCATATAATTAAGCAATAAATAATGGTACAAAGTTGGCATGACTTACACTTTACCGCCTAGGTCCCAAAAGATGCTGCCGAGGAGGAGAGCAATGATGGTAGTGACAAAGAACCTAACAGTATTGTAAGGAGGGTTCCTCCAGTATGACAGGCTCTGCTTCCACAGGCAAGCCATGCATTGAGTAATGGAAGACTGTGCGTACTTGCTAGGGAACTGCAAGTCACTTGAACCTGGCGCTGGTTGGCTAAATTCCTTTATCAATGCCTTGTTCCTCCTGTAAAATGTAATCATCACATCATCATCTACTGCAGAGATTCCCTGGAGAGGAAACAAAAATGTGCAAAGTGCATTGGTATGTACCAACTGCTAGTACTTCGATCGTTTTGCTGGATAAGTTTAGTATAGGGTAATAAGTTACAGAACTTTGGCTTATTGTAATTAGTTGCCGTTGTTTAGTTCTTTTCCTAGTTGTTAATATAACAGCCTGTGGTTATTCTAAAAGATAAGGATTGTGATTTACTTACTGGTAGAGTTCAGATTCCTTGTATATGTCACTGAAATCAACACCTAGTTTCTGTTCCTGAGAACTAGCAGTCACTTCCAGCATCCATGATGCTGGATTGTAGCCATCTTTAATTTTGCTGACCCCTTGCATCCCCTGGATATATAATATGAAACCACATGATATTCACAATAATTTTTTGGGAAAAAAAACAAAGATGGATATTCAGACTCCTGTAATAAG